TTCATATATTCCTTATGGTAAGTCTATCATTCCATCATCCTATCTCTTTGATAACTTATTGTTTTACAAAGCTTTGTGTGTGCATGTATCAAATACAGATTGAGGAAGGGAAGAAGAATGGGAGGGGAAAAAAAAGATAAGAAACCTATCTAATACTTTAAGGGCCGAGGAGATCTGAATGTGTATCTTCTGTCATGGCAATAAAAAATAAATCCAAAATCTGGACTTAGGTTGAGTAAGATTTATTTTGGAAAACAGTATTTGCCACATTAAAAAGGGAAGAAATCTCTCTTCCCTCTTTCTGAATCCCTCCTTTCTTAAATTTTGAAAGAAAGATATTAAAATGCAGCATATAAACGTTAATCCAAAAAGTTTGCTGCATATAACAGCAGAATAGATTGAATCAGTGTCTTTGAATGCCCATGAATGAAGTACGATAGACACCACACTGCTACATATTGATTCTCCAATAGTCCATGTTGTAAACATATCAATCCATTTTGTCTCCAGAGCTAGAGATCAATAAAGCACGTAAGGCAGCAAAATATGTTGTCAGTTACAAATGTATATGAAGCTTGTCTTTAAGGTTATTTTTCATAGGAATACTAGCATAGTCAAGAACACAGCTTAGCAGTGGACACACTCCTGATGGCAGGAGCCTGCATTTAACATTTTTAGGGAGCCTGTGGACTATGGGGGCAGAGCTGTGTAATTCTGTTGGGCAGGATTTTCCTTCCCTAGATTTTAAGGGAATTAAAAAAAAAAAAAGCATATGAAGCCTATTTTTAGGGCTCTAACTACAGATTCCATGTATTTTCTGTCTCAAATCATACTGATTTTCAGTAACTCTGGTCAGAGAAGAGTATGAAGCGAACCAAAGAACTTGGAGATTGCAGACAGCCCTCAGGTCACAGAAAATCCAGCTGTTATGGCTACAAGTTATTTCCAATCCTTTATCTCTGTATATCTGTGATCTGACAATGCAATTCTATCTACTCAGAAGTACAAAAAAGGTACCAGCCTTAAAATCTGAAAAGCATGTGTGATCAATTTGGTCAACAGTTCACAACTTTGTTGGGGCCAGGGACACATCTGGAATTTTGAGAGTAGGTCTTGAGCACCCTCATGACATGGATGTTATGGGAGGCCTGCTTATTCATAAACTGTCATAGTAGGCACCTGGTAGGGGTGTACACGTTAGACACACTTTACCCAGATTAGGTGACATGCCTCTGTGAGACACACAGGTGATACAATTGTCCTGCTGAGAGGCTTCATGTCACTCCATCTCCTACAGTGATTCCAGGAGCTAGAGGGGGCTCTCTGAGCAACATAAACTGTGAAGTGAAATAATGTAGCTGTTTTGCTTTTAGAAAGAGGGGCATTTTCAAAGGGTGCTCTGCACAAATGTTTGTTGCAATGAAGCTCCTTTGAAACTTTATACTGTCATAATAGCCAGTCACAAAACATTCATTCACTAGAAGTATACTCAGTCCATAAGATGCTCTTTATCATGCCAGTAGGATTTTTGCATGGCCCAAAATCATTATTGCAAATAAATACATTGTTAGAGGCTCATGCTATGCCTTGCATCATGCCAGCTTCCTATAACTTTTTTTAATGAAATGAATCTTTTAAAAAAATAGATGGAGCTGGAAGCCTGGTAGGCACCAAAGGAGGTATCTCACAATGAATAAGTGCTTTATAAGAAAGGAAAGACCCTACTAATTATCATCTAATCAGCCTCTTAAAAGTAATTAATAAAATTTAGCCTAAACATCTGTTTGAGAACTGTTATGACTGGATAGAAGACAATAATGTTCTAGCAGAAGAACAAGCAGGATTTAGACCAGGAAGGCCTACTACAGATAAGCAATGATACTGTAATACTTAGCAGAGAAATATCTTTGTGGATCTAAAGGCACCCTTTATGCAGATTTTGTAGATCTTAGGCTTGCCTGTGCTTCTGTATCTAGAGAGATACTGTGGAAGAAACTGCTGGTTACCAATACTGATAAAATATTACAACAACTAGTATATAAATGTTATAACAACACCAACTTGAGGGTTAGGTATGGTTCCCAAGGGCAAGAAACAGATTTGATTAGTACAGCACCAGGCGTAAAGTAAGGTTGTATCCTTGCTTCATTACTTTTCAATTGTTTTATAAACACAATTACACAATACCTTACTAAAAATAACTTTTAGCCACCTAAACTGGCTAACAGATATATTCCAGTGGTCTTGTATGGTGATGACATGGCTCTTCTTTCACTGTCTGCTATAGAATGAAAAGATCTCTAAAATCCTTTGCTCAGTACTGTAAAGAAGAAAAACTGCTGATAAACTATATATATATAAAAAAATTATGACATTTGGTAAGTGACCTAAAGTTAATTGTTGGTCTATTGAATGGCAACCAAGTAAAACAAATTAAATGTTTTAATTATTTGGGAATCTCTTTCTGTTTATCTGGTCCATGTATCCTGGATGGCACCAAAGAGTGGTATCCCTATTTCTGTTTCTCTAAAGGTGAGCATTACAGTCCATCCGCTTTTGGCTATTTGAGCCAAAAGTAATGACATAGCTATTGTATGGTGCACAATCAGGGGTTTACTCTGTTGCAGCAGAGATGGTGCAATCTAAGTTTTTAAGAGCAATTATGCAAGTTCTTAATGTGTGCCCTGATGTCATGCCTCCCCTTCAGCTGTCCTTGAAAACTGATACAGGAAGATTCCTTACCTGGAGAGACAATGTCCCCGTGACTCTGGACACACAGACACAACAGAGCATCTGCTTCTCCAGTGCCTGTTCTACAAAGCCATTTGTACTAGTGTCATCTCACCATTACTGCATAAATACCCAGGACACACACAACAATTCTAGACCTCCCTGCTGCTTTCAGTTACCAACCCTACTACAACATACAATGTTGCAAAGATCTGCGCAGCAGTGCTTAAAATGCATCCAATGATGACCTGTGCCATAAACTAGACTTCATGAGCATCTAGTTTGCCATACTAGAGTGCTGTGTAATTTTATATAGTCTTTCACATACTAATCTCTATGCTTCCCTATACCCAAGTAATACTCCTACCCCTCCTTTTAGATTCTTGTTTTTTATATATACTTTCTGTTTTAATATATTTTTATATATTCCATCTTTTCATAATTTTTATTTATTTCTAGATTCTGATGTATCTTCTATGCTTTTTTAACTGACTGTACCCCACCCTCCTTATGTTGGTCTATGACTGTAATAAAGATTTGATTGGATTTGAATGTATGCCCAGCAGTGCTTTAAGATTACAACTGGATATCACAAGGACAGAGACTCAAATTTGGATTTTCATCTTTAATAACTGGCTGGAATTAACATTTATTCCAACAGAGGTAATTCCTCTGATAATCAAGCATAACTTTCAATCTATGTAGAAGATACCTATCAAAATAAAATTGGCTGCTTGTTGGCTTCTCTTGTAAGACATTTCAAAGAATGGGATATGATCAAGCCAAAAAAAAAAAAAGTACTGGAGAGAATTTTAGACATTGGATGGCTCTATGGCACTCAAGCAATGTAAGTCTTAGAAGTGCATCTTCAGTACTATGCCAACTGATGATTGCCAGTCTCAGTAAATTATAGATATTACCAAGAATTTGCCCTAGCCAGTCTTGATGCACTACCTTCACGAGTCATTGATGGCAAATACTGAAAGATTCCCTTCCATGAGTGCCTTTATCTGTGTAATTCCACACTGTAGACGATGTGCAACAGGTTCAATTGCATCTCAAATTTTATATAGTGCTCCAATTTGGATTACAGTGGTAAATAATAATATAAACAAAAGCTTGGCTAAGTATTATTCACTTTTGGTTTTATATAAACAAACATGGAGGTCCATCCACCCTAGCTCAAGGCCTGGGAAAACAGCCAGGTTTTCAAGACATTCTGGAATGTCATTGGTTGAGAGTCATATGGATCTCAGGAGGGGCTCATTCCAGAGGGCAGGCGCTACAACAGAAAAGAGGTGCTTCCTGGGTCCCAAAAGATGACATCGTCTAACTGAAGGGACGCAGAGCATGTCCACGCTGCTGGATCATAGTGGATGGGCAGAAACCATGGAACACAGACAATCTCTCATATAGCCAGCCCCTATGCCATGTAGGCCTTTGTAGATAATAGCCAGCACCTTGAATCCCACCTGGAAGCACACTGGCAACCAGTTTAACAGGAAAGAGGAAAAAGTCTGGAGAGTGAAAAAAAGTGTGCTGCCTTTAACTTTGGTTTTATCCATCAATGGTATGGACTCTTCTCATTATCAATATCCCAACAAATGATTAACTAGACTTGTGTATTACTTTGTGGATGTACACTATGGAGCTGCAGTGGAAAAAAAATCTTACAAACCAGTAAAATCACTCTTGAGAGACCATGCCCCAAGCCTGTCCTCTTAGAAATAAATCCCTCTGGATTCAACGGACTTCGTGAATGTTCCAGCTATAATGTTAAAAATCAGCAACTCCCCTTCATTTTTCCTTGTTTGTAAAATGGGCGATATTTCAAACATTTACTCTGCCAATTAATTTTTCTAATCGTCACTTAAATGTCCCTGAATAGAAAAGTTAATCCAACCATAGTTTTCGTGTTCACGAACCACTTTTTTTCCTACTCTGAGGCTGGACATACTGGAAAAAAGAAGCCCAAGAGCAAAACCACCTCCTCCCTCCCCCATTTTGTAACATGGGGGTTGGCGGGGGAATATAACGCTGCTTAACCCTAATGCTCCTGGATGAAGCCTCCTTCTTAAACTGCAGTATCCACCTGATGCCTCCTTCCCGCTTCTCTGCGCCAGCGCCACAACGGCCTGCCCAGGAGCCGAAGAAAGAAAGGACTCGCTTTCGCACATGCTCCAACAGAAGCCCGGGCATGTGCAGTAGCCTTGCAGAGGTTGCTCAGGGATCTCTCCCAGCGCCCGCCTCAAACCTCGCCCTCTCCGCTTGCAGCCAGGTGCCGCTGGCGCCAGTTGGACGCGATCGGGGCGGAGGAAAAGTGGCGTTTCCGGGTGCCACTCCGCAAGACACCCCCGGGCAAGAGAGGCAAGATGAGTGGCTCCGAGGAGGAGAGACAGTTGGAGCTAATCAGCAGCCTGAAAGAGCAAGGTAAGGTCCAAAAGCAAGGCGCCGCCGGTCTTGGTCGAGCGGTCCGTGCCCGGCAGCGCCCAGGAGCTGCGCAAGAAGAGGAGCGCGGGCGGGCTTGGGAGCGGCGCTTTCGCTTCTGCT